TCTCTCTCTCTCTCTCTCTCTCTCTCTCTCTCTCTGAACTGGGGATTGAACTCAGGCCCTTGTGCTTGCCAGGAAAGTGCTTATTCCACTGAGCCATCTCCCCAGACCCCAGCTGCATTCTCTTAATTCAATGAATAGAGAGATTTGTTCTAATAGTGTTTGTGGACAGGATATCATGTCTGCATCTTGTACAATGAATAACCACTAAGACAGCAATATGCAATGTATTAATTATTGAAACTGTGCTAGTAATTGGTTTTGAAACTATCTCATTGCTATTTGTTTCTCAATAAAATTATTTGTTTTAAAAAAATAAATAGGGATATAAAAGAATGGGACCAAAGCCATTCCAAACTCCAGAAGGGCAAATATTAAATCATGTAACTCAGTTTACATCTGAGGCAATCTGTGGCAAGTTGTGAGTGCCTAAGGATTTGGATGGCTCGCCCCTACAGCACTTCTGGTAGTTCCTATGGCTTCTCCCATAGGCCTGCTTTGCTCCCTCCTTGTATCTTTCCTTAGGTGACCCATGTTATTGTCTTTCCAACCTCAGGTCTTCACTGCACCTTTGGCTTCACACAGCTTCCCACACTGCCCTCTTAGGATCACACTGTCTGGCCTCCTGGGCCTTCTGAACTCAAGGTGGAAGCCTTATTAACTCTATAAGACTTGCATTCTGAATATGCCTGAAACCAGCACCATGAGATGATGCCAAAGTCTGCTTCCAGTTGGAGCAGTAGCCAGGCTTCCCTCTCTCTTAGCCCAGGTCTCAGTAATCTGAGTCCAGCTCTGAGGAACAAATTCTCTGGATTGCTGCCATTCTGGAACGTGTTGCTCTGGGGTCTTCTTCTCAAAACAAAGTCTTTCACTTTTGCAATTTTGAGGCTCCAAAGGATGGAGTCATGCTGCTTGTGATACCCTGAGGCCATCTTTTCTGTTCTCCTTTTTCCTTCTCAGCAATCAATATCTCCTCTGCTCTATCTTTTTAGTCCACAGCTTTACTGGAACTTCCCTTCTGGCAAACTCACATTTTAAATCATTCTTCTGGGCTCTTTGCTCTTGATTCTAAACATAAATCTGGCTAAAAGCCCCCCAACCATAGTCATGCCACTACCTCAACATTCAACTACCTTAAAATATCTTCTGCCAGATTAATTAATCTTCTGCCCTTAACCTCGGTTTCAGGCAAAGCATCTGGACAGGATCAAAATGCAGACAAACTCTTTGCCAAGCTGTAACACACATATTTTGAAATCCAGCAACCAAAGCAGTCCTTCTTGTCAACAACAATCTCCTGAGTCTGGTCTTTTCAAGCAATATTTCTATCAGCCCTTTGGTTTTCTGAGCTCTGACGGAATCTTCCATGCAGCACAGCCTAAGGTATTCCATCTCTACTCTTTCATTCACCATCTCTGAAACTTTCCAATCTCTTACCCCAAGCCATTCCCACATGTTCTTAAAACACATGGTCTGTTGGAGACATATCAATGACCCTACTCCTGGTACCAAGTTCTGTCTTAGCTACTTTTCTCACTGCTGAGACAAAATACCTAACACCCATGGGTAAAGGAGGAAAGGTTTGTCCGGGTTATAGTTTGCAGAGGTTTCAGCCCATAATCAACTGGCTTCAAGGGTGGTATTGTACAGGACCATCTGTTCATGGCATGTAAGACAATAAAAGCAGCAAGAGCAGAGAGTGAGTAACAAGCCTTTTTTCTTCCTCTGTATTGTATGCAAACTGGGGTAGGTGAAACACTCATGCCCCCAATCCCAGCACTAGATAATGAACCAATCACAAATTCTAGATTCAGCTGCTCCCAAGAAGCACACCTTCCATGACCACGTGAGGTTTTGGGGAACACCCAGATACTAACCATATCAGAGACTTCCTAGAATTTCCTTGTTATTCCCACCCCCCTGTCCCATCACCACCAACAATAAATATCTCTTGAGCCATCCTCTTTCTATAAGATTCTAATAACAATCTATTTAACCGCCCAGCATAATATCAGGCTTTAATCTTATTGTAGTATCCCTATTACTAATCTCCTATCAGATTACCCATAGTTATTATTTAATATGGACTTCTGACCATATTATATCAAAGTAATTTAATACCCATGCAGATTGAATATAATCTTTGGAGCACATCATTATAAGGCACTACATGATCCTATTTGCCTTCATTTAAATGATTAATTTGTTACTGCTCTATATCTTACACTCAATTTTCTAATCACTGGCACAAATACCCTACACCCAGAACTTAAAGAAAGAGAGATTCATTTTGGCTCAAAGTTTGGTGGGTTCAGCCCATGGCTGGCTGGCCTTAGAGCAGAATTAATGTGATATATAGGTGACAGAGGACAGCTGCTAACCACATGGCATCCAGGAAACAGAAAAGGAGGAGGCAGAGACAAGAATACACCCTTCCACGCCAGGTGTGATGGCACATGCCTGTAATCTCAGCACTCATGGGGCTGAGCCAGGAGGCTTGCCATGAGTTTGAGGCCAATCTGAGCTACATAGTGAGATCCAAGTCAGCCTGAACTACATAAAGAGATCCTGTCTTAAAAAATACACCCCCCCCCCAGATCGTCCTCTCTGCCTACCCCTTCTAGCCAGGCCCCATCTACATAATTCAGCTCTGAACTCAACATTGGATGAACCCAGTGATGAATGGAGCAGCCCACGATCCATTCAACTTCCCAAATCCTCCCCTCTGATCACCTGAGACTCTCAGGGAACATTTTAGATCTAATACACACCACTCTTCAAATACAACTTATTTTTTCTCATGCTTTTGGCCCTTCAGACTTTTAAGTCTCTAGTCCAAGAAGGTTCTCTTCTTCCATTTCTCCCATATGCAGCTCTTCCTGTTATGCCAAGTTTCAGGTCAAACATAACCCACTATCAAGAGCTTTCCTTTACTCTCCCAGTCCAGCTCAGGCATTTATCCATGCAATTCCTATTCTGTACATATATTTATTTTTTAAAACATACATCACTTACTGCTAGTTGTTTGCAGTTATTTATTCCTCTCTAAGCTATGAGAAACACTTATCCTTCTACAGAATGCCTAGCACACATGGAGCTCTACTGTGTAAATGAATGATTGATGAATAAATAGATGAATTAATGGATAGATGAACTGAGTTGAAAGGTTAGCTGCTTGTCTTAAAGAAAAACAATTAAGAAAACAGTGGAAAGTTCTGTTTCTTTTCTGGGCTTAGGATTACTTCTGATAACAAGTATAGATGTCCCATACAGTGTGTAGCACATTATACTTATATACTTTATATTATACTAAGAAAAGTATATTTTTTCTTTCTTTTACCTTTCAAAAAGATTTCTTCTTGATTCTTCATCCATCATTCACAATTAACTTTAGCTCATGATTCAGAAAGTTGAAGCTTCCAGGAAGCATTGTGAATGAAAGTTAGAAAGCTAAGGCTTTTGAAGAAGCATCATTTAAGACGTTTGTCATCATGTGTGTTCCTTCATACTCCTTTGGATTGACAATTGAATCTTATTGCTCCCAAGTTCAAAACCCTTTATCTGCTTACATTGTTCTTGAAATATGACTCTCCCTTACTTTGGCCCAAGATGCCTGTTATAATCCCACACTACCTTCCCTCGCTTGTGGAGCAGCTCTTCACCCCCCTCCCCCCATCTCTCAGCCTTTCCCTGCCTTTATAGATGGACCTATCTTTTTCAGGGGATTTTAGAAATCAACTTTTATCCAGACCAGTCTTTTTAATATGGCTTTTTCTATCTGCAACACTATCCCAACTTGAGTGGCCAGATAAAAATAGCACCTCTTCTTGGAGGCCTTTCCAAATCCTTCAGTGAGGTCATCCAACCCTTTCTTCTTCCTCCAGCAGCCACGTGCATTAGTGGCACTTGAACTTTACTTACCACAGCTGTGATTATTCAGATAGTTCTATGACTTTAGTTTGCATGTTTGTTACCTAATTTATGCAGACAAGGTGTGCATAAGTGTGTTGTACATGACTGTAAAGCCAAGTGTAAGACATAGTCTCTTGATAGGTGCTTAGCAAGTAACTGTTGATTGAAGACTCTATCAGGTAGCAGTCATTATTCCTTTTTTGTTCTACCATTTTCAAATAGTATCTGTTGTCTTAGTGCACCTCTTGATTTGAATGTGACTCAGCAAGATGAGACACCTAGTGAACTTCACTGTGGACACCTTAGCTCAATACACTTGATGGAAAGAGTCTTCAATGTCAGAGGAAATATGCTGAATGTAGGTCCTATATCTACCTGTTCAATACCTATGATCCTGAGAAAGTTACCTAACTTCTTTGAATGTATGGCAGCCCTTTATCACAGTATTAGCTTCTGAAAGGGACTTCTACATTACAAAACTCCATACAAATGATAATTAGACTCAGTAATCGATTCTTGCTTCCTACAGGCTTTCAGTTTAGGGAGGAGGATGGGTATGGGCACTCATTCCAACAATTCTAACCTAGGATGGTTTATGCTGTTGGTGGTGGTGAATCTGTGGCATATATATTGCTGTATTTTTCTTTTAAAGCAAAAGGTGTTAATATAGATTTGTTCTTTCTAAAGTATAACTTAAGTGTTCAGGTTTAATTGCAGTGTTAGCACTTTGTGAAAATAGTGGTTTTTAGTTTTCAGTTTGGCACTCAGTCTCTAAAAGTTCACCATCATTGGTCTGTGCTAAGCTCTGAAAAAGCTGGGTTCAGGTTCAGATATTTGAAACTTTAGAGTTATCTGTTT